AATAATAGGGGATTCAGAATAAAGAAAGGGGAGTAGGTACAAAAGAGTGTAATAAGGTCAATTTGGTTTCCGTATAAAAGAGCAAAACACTTGTGTTGTCATCTTAAAATCAGCATACAAGTAATGTGAGCCTTCTTGTGAGCTCTAACTTGTGGAGCCTGTGAGGGTAGGACTGAACAGAAGGCTGACGTAGATCTAATGCTACCTTGTCGCTGTTTGTGATGCTAGCACGTATGAAGCGGAGCTATGGGTTATGAAGCAAGGGTAAGGAGGGTGGGTACTCGTCTACCGGAGTTCCCTATAGGTGTTAGCTTGGGTGTGTATCCCATTAGGAGGGCAAGTAGACAGATTATGTTGCGTACCCTAACCAGTGTTGGGGCTATGCTTCGCCTGCAAGTGGCATCAAAATGGGAGTTAGTAACCGCTTGCATTAGAGAAGGCATCAGATTATTTGCGTTTCCTGGCCGTAAGTGTTCCTAGTGCGTTAAGAGAGGGTCAGGAGTCTGGTGAGGAGGGTTAAGGTGTTGAAGTAGTTTTGAGCATGTTCCCCGTGAGCAGGGGTTGTCATGTTGAACCGTACAACATGTACCTGTAGGGGGTGTAAGGATGGGTACGGTTAGGAGGGGGAGGTAGTAGAGGAGAAGGGAGGAAAATGAGGGATATGAGTGGAGGGGCAAAGAGTGAGAAAGGAGGTGGAAAATAGAGGAGCTTGAGGTTGAAGGGGTAGTGGTGAAATTAGACTCTCCGGGGTGCAGTTGCCTGCCCCCCCAAACTACGGTTGTGCTCCAGGATCCAGGGGTCCCAGATTTTATGGAAGTTTTTGGATGTTTTGTGGATTATAGCCGATAGTTTATCCATCTCCATTGTCTCGGCTGTCTTGCGAAGCATTACAGTGAGGGAGGGTTTCGTGTGGTTGCCCCATTGTTCTGCGATTGTGCATCTGGTTGCTAACGCGAGCTTCGCAACTAGTTTGTTTTGTGCTCTGGTGAGGGCAGTGTGGGGTTTTGAGAATGTCAGTGTGTAGGATCGTGGAGGCGATGTCGGAGACACTAACCCATAGCTGGGAGATCAATGTGCATTCCCACCATAGGTGAAGATATTTGCCCCTGTCTCCACAGTTTTTCCCGCAGGTATCTGTGGCTGAGCGCCCCATTTGTCTCAGTTTAAGAGGGGTGAGGTACCCCCGGAGCATTGTTTTATAAGCCTGTTCCTTATGATTAGTGCATATTGTGAGCGATGCTGTGACTTCCCATATGTCGGCCCAGTCGGAGGGGTCCTCCAGTGTGCTTATGTCCCTTTCCCATGTCAAGGTGTAAGGAAGGGCGCCTACCGGGGAATTTGAGTTCAGGATGGAGTATATCGTAGAGATTTGTCCCCTCTGAATGGGTGCTAGCATACCGGCTTTTTTAAATTGTGTGAGTGCAGTGATAGCTGCGGCTCTGACCTGTGATTCGTTAAGGAAACTGCACAATTGTACATAGTGGAAATGCTCAAAAGTTGTCAGTGGTACCTTTCTGGGGAGGTCTGTGAATTCCAAGAGTTGTTGATTGAGAAAGTAGTGAAAGGATCATAACAGCCCGTTATCCTCGAAGTGCACAACGTTTTGTGATGCAAAACTTGGGGGGAATTGTTTGTTGCGCAAAACTGAAGTGAGCAGAGAGGGGGTATTCACTAGTGGGTATTGTGGGAGCACTCTATCCCAGAGTTGGAAAGAAGTATTCAGAGCTGGGGTCATTAAAGGGGTGTCTGGTCTGTCTTTTTTGGGGAGCCAGAAGAGGAATGAGAGGTGGTCGTGCTCTAGGTCCACCCATAGTTTCATGACTGCTGGTGCCATAGTTTCATGACTGCTGGTGCGTGTAGGTTCTGGATTTGCGCCAGGTGGGCAGCCTGGAAATATTGATAAAAATTCAGGAGGCCCAGACCTCCCACTCTGGTGGTGATATACAATGTAGACCTTTTAATTCTTGACCTTTTACCTGCCCATACAAAGTTATTTTTGATTGGAACAGTTTTAAGTCTTGTTTCGAAATTGGAGTAGGGAGGGCTTGGAATAGGTAAAGGAACTGGGGGGGAAGGTTAATGTTTATAGGAGCCACGATATAAACATGGGGTTCCACCTTTGAAAAATCATCATGTGCTTGTTGTAGTAGAGGTGGGTAGTTCAAGGCGTACGTTTTGGAGAGGTCGATTGGAAGGAGAGTTCCAAGATAGTAAATGCTTTGAGTATTATATTTGAAAGGGTAGGTTCGGGAAAGATGGGTAAGGGACTCTTGTGGGATGCCTATTGGGAGGCCTTCCGTTTTATCCCTATTTAATTTGTAGCCTGAGAAGTTAGCGTACTCATCCAGCATCTGCAGTAAAGGGGGTAGGTAGCAGCAGGGGTCCATGATGATGAGGAGAATGTCATCTGCGTAAGCCACAGTTTTGTATTCTTTGTTCCCCACCTTACTCTCTGCGATTGTCTGGGTGGTTCTTATTTTCTGGAGAAGGAGTTCTAGGGATAAGCCAAATAAGATGGGGAACAGCAGGCAGCCCTGCCGTGTACCATTGTGTATGGTGAATTCTGGTGCGTGCATGTTGGGGATGAGGAGGGTAGCTACTGGTTCATCACACACACTACATTCATTATACATACTCTGCATTCACTACAAACACACTACATTCATTATACACACCCTGCACTATATGCATGGGAGTGTAATTTCTTTTTTAGGGGAGGGGGGAATCTTGGGTGAGTTCCCACACTTTTTTCCCCAGGACTTGACCCCTGGTTGGATGCGATTGGCTACTAAGTTTGTAACTATTTTGGTGTCTACGTTTAGAAGTGAGATGGGTCGGAAAGGACCCAGGTCTAGGTGTGTTTTATTGTGTGTTCTGCGCCTTTCTTGTGGTATGGGGTCTCCCTACAAGAGGGAGTTGCATAGCTTCGTAAGCTGAGGTATTAGGGTGTTGGGGAAGGTTTTGTAGGAAAAAACAGAAAAGCTGTCTGGCCCTGGGCATTTATTGGGTTTCATTGTTTTCAGTATAGCTGTAATTTCTTCCTCTGTAATTGGGGTTGAGAGCCTCTCTATAGCTTCATCCCTCAGCAAAGGGAGGGTCATCTCTCTGAGATATGACTCTACGACCGTAAAGACTAAGGCTATCTTCTTGGGGTCGTCGTGTATGTGTCCGTCGGGCGAGGAGATTTTATCTATGCATTTAGTTAGCGTCTTGTGGCGGAGTTTACGGGCAAGAAGGGTGTCTGCCTTGTTGCACTTTTCGTAGTATAGTTGTTGGGTCCAGTGTAGGGCTTTGAGTATCTTTAGCTATAACATTTTTAATGACTTGTTGGTGTGTTTTAATATGGTTTGTCAGTTCGGGAGTGGGTTTATTCTTGTGTCTGGCTTCCGCATTTCTGAGTGCAGTTAGATGTGTTTCAAGGTCCCTTAATGGTCTTTTTTTGTGCGCTGTAGCTTCAACTATTAATTTACACCTAATTACTACCTTCTGGGCAGGCCAAAGAGTGGTGACGGAGGGGACTGAGTTTGTATTAAGGGTGAAATAGTCGTTCAATTCTTGTTGGATGGTCGGTGTGTGTTATGTAGCAGGGTGGGATTTAAGGCCTGGCCATCTGGGGGGGATCTGGAAGGTGAAGGAGATGTCTGCGTGGTCCGACCATGGGATAGATCAGATTGTGGTTGCCGTAGTGTGGGGTATCAGCGATGGCGATATTAGAAACATGTCAATTCTGGAATAGGACGAGTGTGGGTGCGAAAAGAAGGTAAAGTCTTGAGTAGTGGGGTGTTGAAGCCTCCATATATCTTGGAGGCCTGTGTTAGCTACAAGGTCCGAGAGTAATTTGTTGGCTCTGGGTGTGGGGGGTGCCCGCACTTTGTCGGCGGTGCCCATTCTCCTGTCGGTGGATGAGGACAGGACTGCTTGGAGTCGCCCACCGGTATCAAATGGTGGGAATAGAACAGCTTCAAGTGTGCTCGCAGAGCTGTCCAGAAAAGTTGGTCAGGTGTGTAGATGGAGGTGTTTGTGTATTTATGGTTGCTGAAGTGGCCTATTATAGCCAGGAATCTACCTTGGGGGTCCGGGTAAGACTTGGAGAAATGAATAGGGCATGATTTATGGACCAATATTGCCACTCCATTGTTTTTCCCCGTGAATGAGTTCGCCAGGTAGCATTCCGTGAAGTTTTGGTTACGTAAAGGGAAGGGTCTAGAATGGTCATAATGTGTCTCTTGGAGACAGGGCCGGACTGGCCCACCGGGATACCGGGAAATTTCCCGGTGGGCCGCGTTCCTGGGCCGGCCCTTTAAATACTGCAGCCGCCCGAGCGCTCTGTTAAGAACCTCAGGCGGCTGCAGCTTCTCCCCTGTAGCGTGGCAGAGCTGCACTCCGGTCCGCGGTGGCCTGCCGGAGTGATAGGGGAGGTCGACTGGAAAGTGTAGCATCTCCTCGTCAGTCCGCCGCTATGGTACCAGAAACCCCCTGTGTCTGGCCAGCCAGCTCTTGTTTCTCTGTAAATCGGGCCGACTGACAGCGGCACACTCAGTGTGCACCTTCCTTCCTATCATCCCCGCCGGTCACACCGGAGTGCAGCTCGGGCCACGCTTGCCAGGGAGGGAAGAAGAGGAGGAGGAGCAAGAAAAAGAGGGGGGTGGTAAAGGCTGAAGAAGAAGGGGTGAGTAAGAAAGAGGGGAGTAAGAAGAAGGGGGTAAGAAGAAAGAAGGGGTAAGAAGAACAGGTGGGGAGTAAGAGACGACCATAAAGTAAGAAGAACACAGGGAGGAGGGGGGGGTAAGGAGAACACAGAGGGTGGAGGGGGGGGGATGAGAAGAGCACAGGGAGGGTGGGTGAGTGTGAGGAGAGACCTCTACGGGACAGAAGGGGCAGCTCTATAGGACAGGGGCCAAGACAGGGAGCGCGCACACACACACACACACACACACACACTTCCCTTACACACAGAGAAACACACAATGCAAACCCGTACACACACATGCAAACACACACTTTTCTTACATACACACAGAAACACAATGCATCTCTTACACTCAATGCACACACATACAGACACACACCTTGCATCCCTTATGCATACAAACACAGATTCACACAATACATCCCTTACACACAACCAGAAACACATAATACATCCCTTATACACAAATACACACTGCTTCCACTACACACAAACACACTACAGCACCTGCACAAACTGGTAACCCTATACACTACATACCATAAGCACACATATTAGATCCTCTACAAAAACACATAACACATCCCCTACGCACTCCACTCCCTGTGAGCGAACTCATGGGTGGGTGGAACTTATGAGTGGGCCTTATGGGCATACTCACCATCAGGCCCTGGGGCCCAGACCCCAAAAAATGGAGCTGCTTCCAATTCTCCCAGAACATTGAATTTTGTGACCACAGTTGCAAACAGCCTCCAGAGATCCTGTTCTACACCAGACCAGTAGAGCCAAACTGCAGCCCATCATCATCCTCATCTGCTTGTAAGTAGGCAATCTAGTATATTATTAGTGACACTAATCTATAATTTACCTCACATTAAAGGGACACTATAGCTTAATGAAGTGGTTCTGGTGTCTATAGCTGGTCCCTGCAGGCTTTTTAATGTAAACACACACTGTGTGCAGCACTGGCGTTAGTTCATATGGGTGGGGCATTGTGATGTCACATGGGGGGGCAGCAAATTTTTATTTTGTCTAGGGCTGCAAAAATCCTTGCACCGGCACTGATCCTGGGCAGGTGCACCAGTCTACTGGTGACCCACAGGAGGGGAGTGCACTGATTGCACTGCACTCTCCTCCTGCCCAGCCCCATCTTTACCGCAGTGCAAGTGCCCTCTGCCCTTAATTTACAGTGGCTCACACTCACAACAAGCAGTGCCTGGAGCCGTGAAGGAGCGGTATGGCAAAGAGCTACTGATTAGCATAACATCAATATCCGTTATAAAACCAGGAAAAGGTGGGCATGGATGGTGAACTGATTTGGTGGTGCAATGGGCCACTTGACTGGTTTTGCCCCCCAGGCCTAAGGCTGCCAGCCCTCCCCTGCTCACTGCTGTGGCTGATGGAGGAGGAGCATCTCTGTACCATGCTGCCCCGCACAGAACACGGCCGCCCCCGACTCCAGGTAAAAGGGGAGGGAGAGAGATGGGGAGGAGGGGGGAGAGACACAGGAAAGGGGAGGGGAAAGGGGAGGGAGAGACACAGAGAAAGCGGGAGAGATGGGAGAGACACAGGAAAGGGGAGTGAGAGACACAGGAAAGAGGGAGAAATGAGAGAGAGACACACAAGGGGAGGGGAAGAAAGAGGCAGAGGGGGAAGAGAGAGACTGGGAAGGAGAGGGGAGACATTGACACAGAGGAGCAGTGAGGGGGAGAAAGAAACATACAGAGTGACTGGGGGAGACAAAAAGGCACACAGAGGGGCTGGAGATAAAGAGACACACATAGGGGCAGTATATATCACAAAGCCCCCAAGGCTTTCCCCTGCCGGCCGATCTCCCTCCCCGTTCCACAGGCACCGTGCAGCCAGTCGGCAGGGGAGGAAGAGAGGACCTGGGGCAACGCTCCGGCTCTCACGAGGGTGAACTCTAGCCCTGGAGCTACGGGCTAGAGTTCACTCTCACCACTTCCTGGTGGTCCCAGTAGTAGGAGTGAACTCTAGCCCCATACACATTCACACACTGCCCCCACACACCATACACATTTACACACTGCCCACCCACACACTGAACCTTTCACACACATTGCACCACTGCTCCTATACCCTACTACAGCCCCATATCCCAGCAGACTCCAGGTAAGTTGTCAAACTGTTCTTAAACGGTTTGACGACTTACTCTGGGAGGGGGTGCCGACGCTCCTGGCACCATAACCACTACACAGAGGAGTAGTGGTTATTGTGCATGGAATATTTCTTTAAATAATCTACAAGTGCCCCTCTCAGGCTCAGGCTCTGGATCCGCCATTAGTATATGACATGTATATTAATGTGTGTATTAGTTTTATATCTCTATTATATTTACACATATTAATGTACATTTATAAATGCATAATACACAGAGAAATTTCATTAATATGTACCATATGTAATGAGCAGATATTGGCCCAGTCTTGTTGCTAGGTGCATACTCCAGCACAATAACATATTTAAAGTGAAGAGCACACCCACAGGACTTCAAAATAAAAAATTTTTACAGTTGTGCCCTACATACATTCACCATTTCAGTCCCATTAACAAGCTTTCCTTAATATGTCAAGGTAGTTGGACTGAAACATTGATTACATGCAAAGGCACGTCTGCTTAAAATAAATCTGCACTTTTGTTTATTTTGAAGCCTATGAGTGCGCTTTTTACGTTGAAGTACTTTTTAATTTTAAGTTATCTGTTCTAACTCTGTATCTGCACACTATGCTGGCGCGATGCATTATGGGGCTGGTAAATATTTTTTTTCCAGGGCTGCTTTTAATTCCCAGTCCGGCCCTGCTTGGAGAAGAATAATTTCAGCTTTGGTTCTGTTCGCCCAGCGCAAGAGTTGTTCAGACCGTTACAATTAAGGGAAACGCAAGAGATGGGCGCTGGCATTGTTGACGTATGACTTCGGGCGGGGTCAAGAGGGCCGGCTCAAGTGAGTTAGCCACAGAAGGAGGGGCCAGGCCCCGGGTGTGACAGGGGGATCGGAGATGAGAGGGAGAAGTTAGCTAGAAAGTAGTAGGTGTGGGAGAGAGACAGAAGGGGGAAGCTAGGTCAGGTAGGGAGGGGCGTGCAAGGTGTGGGTAAAAAAAAACCCTGGTCTTACATGTTGTCTGCCAGGTATTAATTGGGGTCAGCGAGGACGCCTTGGGGGTAGCGTGAGTGTAGTCCCTATTGTGACCCAGTTAGGGTGAGAAAGAGAGAAGTTGAAGGATTTTCATGTCCTCCATCTCTCCCACTCCCCTGCACTGTTGTAAGTGCTGTGCTCGTGGTGTGGCTCAGAGTAGCAAATCATTTTAAAACCGGCTGCAGGGCCGATACTGGGCAGGTGCACCAGTCTACTGGTGACCCACACGAGGGGAGTGCACTGATTGCACGGCACTCTCCTCCTGCCCAGACCCATCTTTACCGCAGTGCAAGTGCCTTCTGCCCCTAATTTACAGTGGCTCACACTCACAGCAAGCAGTGCCTGGCACCCCTTACACAGACAGGAGCAAAGAGGTTCTGCGGCAGCTGGCCGTCCTTCAATCATTACATTAACCAGCTGTTCCACATGCAGCCACAGGTGGCGCTGTGCTGGGAGAGTGTGATTACTCTTCACTTCCTCCCAGCCTACAGAACAGCACATGGGAGAGAGAGAGAGGAGGAGGCATGATTAACCCCTTAAGACCGGAGGGCGTACTATTCCGCCCTATTTTAGGCGGCTCTAAACGCGGCCGGGCGTGATAGTATGCCCTCAGTTTTTTTTTTAATGTTTTGTTCACAACGTGTACATTTGGCTCAGTCCTTAAGGGGTTAACCCCTTAAGGTAGGAGCCAAATGTACACATTGTGAACAAAACAAAATGTAAACAAAACCTGGCATTTGCGCTACATGTCTGTCCAACCGTAATTCACCTCTTTCATATTAAATGCACCCACCCTTATTATACATCATTTTATTCAGGGGAAACAGGGCTTTCATTTAATATCAAATATTTAGCTATGGAGGCGGAGCTAGCAGCGGAGCAGAGCGGTCGCACTCTCCAAGAGCTCTCCAATACGGACCGCAAACGAGCCTTATATCAGGCGCAATCCGGAGACTACCCGGGCTCAAACACCCACACCCAGCACAAGACTAGCCATGGGTCGCAAACACAAAAAAAAACCAGAGCAGATAAAGACCTGGCTACCCACGATATCGGGGAACTGCTCCTACGGTCGCAAAAGGCCGCATGGGACAAGATGGCAGCGGGAGACGACGACTACTCACTCTCCTCCGATGATTTCTCTATAGACCCCAGAGAAGGTATGGCGCAAGACCCACCACCCAACCCAAAGTGCCCACAAGCAACTGCAGAGGATCCTGTCACAGCCTCTATTCTCAAGAGCATGCTGGCAGAGCTTAGATCCAATATAGCAGCAGACACGGCCGGTATAAAAGAAGCAGTGGAGGGGGTCACTACCAGGGTACAGCGACTGGAGGCCTCAACTTCCTCCCAAGAGGCAAGGATAGCGTCCCTGGAACAAGCACTAACTGAGGTGCAATCCCAGCAAAGCATAGCAAGCACCCGGGTAAACACCCTTGAGGACCTCAGACGACGCTATAATATCAAGATCCGTGGCATACCAGATTCAATAGGCCAGACAGACCTACCGCACTTCATTAGGCGCCTACTGGCCGATCTATTGCCGCCCAAACAAGCAAAAGCAGTGCGACTAGATGGTATGTTCAGACTGCCAAGGCCCGCAACAGACCTAATCCTCCGCTTTCAAAATCTGCAAGACAAAGCCCAGCTGTTGGCAGCCGCGCGGGGGAAAACCCCTCTGACATTCGAGGGAGCCACATTGTCCCTCTTTCCGGACCTCACAAAGAGCACTATGGGTTGGCGCAAGACCATGCAGCCCCTCTTACAACACCTCAGGAACAAGAGCATCCAGTATAAATGGGGAACACCGAACATGATCACCTTCACGCATCAGGATACCACTTACCGAGCTCGGAGCTACCCTGAACTGGACTCACAATTGCGCACGGCAGGCCTGCTGTCACCCCCACAGGAAAGCTCAGACCTCACCCAACTGGACCCAGCTGCGGTCGCTGACTTCATCCCAGGGGCTACCACCCGACCACCGCGCCAGCGAAAGACACCCTGAGGGACAGTGTACCAGGAAGGTTCCTCCCCAATACACCAGAGACTGCCGATAAAGCACTCTCCGGGACAGGGCCTTCAGCCCAAGACGAACCCACACCGCTCTCTTACGAACTTAAACTTAATCAACACCCAAGTTCCTCCTCCCCATATATTTTTGGTTTTTAACAATTGACCCTTTAACAGTTCACAAAAATCTATATAGGTCTCCCAGGAGCAGACTTCATACACCCGAGGCACATTGGCAGCTGTACTCACTGCACTCTATACCGGGGACGCAAGCTCCCACAATCGGACGCATTACTGACCTCACCTACACCTAACTCACCTCCTCACACAAACATAGAAGACACGGTTAACAACATGTTCATAGTGACAGGAGGGTATCTCTGAGGTAGTACATACACCAATCCTAGGGCACTCCATCCATGTAAAGACCCACCCTCGCACACTGGTGTTTTAATGTACATCCACGGTGGGGGGGATCTCACGGACTCCATGTCACGGACTTCATGCCATAGACACAAAATATGCATCCATAGCTGGTCTAGACACGGGCCCACACAACACAACC